TGGTTGAGTGGTACTCCATTTTATGAAATAACCACATCTTCATTCATTGTTCTCTTTGATCTTATTTGTTATTGCTCCCTTCCTCTTTAAAAAATTAATTTTATTCATACACCTTAGCTATACATAATTATCACATTCATCACAGGGAACTTGTAACTGTATGACATATCTTGATTTTCCTTTTTTCCCCAATCCCATCCCCATTGAACTCCTCCTCCCCTCCTATTTACTAAAAAATCTTAAGGTACAAGCAGCCTCGTATACAAATAACAATGCCCCTCTTTACTGACAAAAGCTTATCTTCCATTTTTTCCTTTCTTTTTATTTCCATAATTATCTTCCATTTTTGTCCTTCAATTATTTTTTCTTTTCCTTTCCTCTTCGCTCATTCCCCTCCCATTTGAATATTTTCTTCTTGTTACACAATATCACAATATTTAATATATATTTTGGTCTTTATCTACCCTTTTGGTTTCTCACACTAGAGGAACAATGCAATAGTTACACATGTATTCCAATTTATCTCACTTAGGAGTATAGTTTCAACGTTCATCCCTTTAGCTAGAAATATCTCAAGCTTGTCCTTCTTTATGGTTGAGTAGGACTCCATTTTATGAAATAACCACCTCTTTATTCATTCATTGGTTGATAGACATCTGGACTGTTTCCAATATTTAGCTATGATAAACTACGACTATAAAGATACAAGTGTATATGTTGCTGTGCCCAGAGCAGGACATTGTAGCCTGACAGCCTATATCATCAGCACACACCAGAGGTGAGGGACCAAGACACTCCTCCCTCTCCAACTGGTCATCTGTTGTCAAGCTTTGAGGTGATAATAAGCAACCACGTCTGCATGGAGAGTCTTCCATATTAGACTCCAGCTCCCAGCTCCCAGCGACCCTGAATCTACAAAGACGTAAGGGTGAGGGTGAGTGAGAGCTGCCGCAGCAGATGGGTGAAAGAGAGGAGGGCCATAGGGCAGAGGGGGCAAGCACCGCCCTGGGGCAAGAGAGAGGAGAAAGCTGATAGCATTCTTTTTTTCCTACAGCCTCAGGAACATTTATTGTTTATGTGTTGCTGATGGTTGCCATTCTGACTGGGTAGACTTCCATAGACTTTGTTCATTATTTGTGTTTCTTTTGAGAAATATCTGTCTAAACCATTTGCCCATTTATTGATTTTTTTAAAAAAATTCTCTATATATCCCAGATGTAAATCCACTGCCAGAGAGCAGCTGCCAGATTTTTTTTTCCCACTTTGTAGTCTGTTTCTTTACTCTGTTGGTTGCTTCCCTTGCTGTACAGACCTTTGAATTTGCTGTGCTCCCATCGTTGGTTCCTGTGCCTTTGGAATCCTACACAAGATGGTTTTGAGTGTGTACACAACAGACCCCAAGAGTTCACACTTTTTTCTTTTTAGCAGGTTGAAAGTTTCCAATATTATCTCTAGGTCTTTGATCAATTTTGAATTTATTGTTTCAGAGTGTGAAGTAGAGGTCTAGTTTCAATGTTCTACATACGGATTTCCAGTTTTCTCCAGTGTACATTTTTGCTTCCTTTGTCCAGAGTTAGTTGGTTCTAGTTGTGTAAATTTTGCTCTGTGTCCTGGATTCTATTTTCTTGGTCTACACATCTGTGTTTGTGCTTGTGCCATGCTGTGTTCGTTATGGTTTTATATTATAATTTGACATTGAGTCCTGTGAGGCCTCCAGCCTTGCTCTTTTTTTGCTCAGAAACACTATGTCTGTTCAAATTCTTTGTGATTCCAAATGAATTCTGAGATTGTCATATTTAGTTCTGTGAAGAATATCATTGATATTTTGATGGAGATTTCATTGAATCTGTAGATCACTTTTGGTAATTAGCCCATTTTAACAGTATTAATTCTGGCCATTTGTTAGCATGAGCTCTTTCCATCTTCTCAGGTCTTCAATTTATTTTAAAATTTTGTAATTCTAATTGTAGAGGGTTTTCAGTATTTTAGTTATAGTTATTCTTACATTGTTTTTGGATGTTATTGTGCATGAAATTGTTTTCCTGATTTTTTTTTTTTCTCAGCTTTCTTATCTGTGTAGAGAAGGACTTTTTTGGCGGGGCAGGGGGAGCTGGCTCAGGATGCTTTCAGGGCAGATCTGGCAAGGCTTGAGGATCTGGGGATCGAACCACAGCATCCCAAGCCTGACTGCTTTGCTTAAGCAGTCACTTAAACAGATGAGCTAATGGGCAGGCCCCCTTATTTGTGTAGAGAAAAGCTATTATTTTTAATTCTGATTTTGTATTCTGCTAGTTGGCTGAATTTGTTTACTTACTATAAAAGTTTCTTGGTTGAGTTCTTAAGATCTTCTAATTATAGGACCATATCACACACAAATAATTTGACTTCTTTCTCTCCTATTTGTGTTTATTTCATTTCCTTACTATGACTAACTGCACTAGTGAAATTTCAAGTCTATCTTGAATAGGAATGATGTGGACATACATCCTTGTCTAATTGAGAATTTTAGCACAAATGCTTTCTGTTTTGTCTATTTAGTTTGAAATTGGTTCTTAGTTTGTTAAATATAGCCTTTATGTATACTGAGGTATAATCCTTTAATGCTTAATTTTTTATTTATACATGTATATATTTTTATCATAAAGCAATGCTGAATTTTCCCAAAGGTTTCTCTGCATCAGTTGAGATGATTATATGAATTTAATCCTTGATTTTATTTGTGTATGCCATGTTTATTGATTTGTGTGTGTGTTGAACCATGCTTGCATCTATGGGATGAAGCCAACTTGGTTGTGGTGATGATATTTTTAGCGCTTATGAGTTCAATTTGCTAGCATTTATTAAGGCCATTTATGTCTCTGCTATTCAAAAATACTGATCTATAATTTTCTTGTTTTCTTCTCTTGTCTGGTTTAACATCAGAGTAATATTAACCTCATAGAATGATTTTGAAGGTTTCCCTTTTCTTTTTATTTCATGTAACAGTTTGAGGAACTTTCTTGTTAGTTATTATTTTTTGAAATATATTTTGTACAGGGTTTCACCGTGCAGCTGGGATTTATAATGATCTTCCTTTTCTTCAGCCTTCCCAGTGCTGGGATTTCAGGTGTGCGCTACCATGCCTGGTTGGTGGCTCGCTCAGTGTGCTTGGGGGTAGGGCCGGCGCAGTGTGTGGAGCCCAGGAAGGAATCCCATTCTCTGCACTTGCCTAAGCAGGTGCTTAGTTCACTGAGCTATCTCACTAGCCCTGTGGTTATTCTTTAAAGACTTGGTAAAATTTAGCAGTGAATCCATCTGATCTTGGGTATTTATTTGATGGGAGAGTTTTTATTACTACTTTAATCTCATTACTTTTTATTAATTTAAGTTTTTAGGTATACTCTTGTTTCCATTTTGTAGGTTACGGTGTATACAATTTATATATTTCCTCTAGATTATTGAAATATAGATTTTGCAAAATTGTCCTTAACGAGTCTCAGATTTTAGATTTTTCTCTTATAAACATGCTATTTTTAAATGTTTAATCGTATAATTTAGATCCTCCTTCTTTTTCCTTTGGCTAAGTTGGATGAAGATTTATCAATTTCATTTATATTTTCTAAGAATTGTTTGTTTCATTGATTCTTTTAGTTGAGTATCATTAATTTCAGCTGTGATTTTTATTTCTTTTCCTCTGTTGGATTTAATTTTGGCTTCTTTCATTTTTCCAAGACCTTGAGATACATCATGTTGAACAATTGATATCTGATTTCTTTTGATGCAGCTATAAACTTCCCTCTTAAAACTGCCTTTGAAGTATCCCAAAGATTCTGGTATGTTTTGTTTCTCTTTTTATTGGATTGTAGTGATTTAAAATTTCCCTTGATTTCTTCAGTGAGTTCCGAATTATCCAAAAGCAAATTGTTCAATCTTCATTTGTCTGTAATTTTCTACACTTTTTCTTGTTGATTTCTAGTTTCAGTCCATTATGATCTAATAAGATGAAAATTTTATTGCAGTTGTTTTGCATTTAACATTTGCTTTATGGCATAAAACATGCTCGATCTTGTTGAACAGTCCATGAGCAGCTTAAAAAGTGTATCTCATAGTTAAATGTTCTGTTTCATAATTGAATGTCAGTTAAGGCCATTTGATTGATGGTATAGTTTATATCTGATATTTCCTTGTTTATTTTTCAACTCTGACTTATCTGTTGGTGAGAGTGAAGTATAGGAGTGACCCATTATTGTGAGTCCTTTCAAATCTAGTAGTATTAGGTTTATGAACTGAAGTGCACTAAAGTTTGGTGTACATATATATTTATAACTGTTTTATCTACTTGGCACATTGTTCCCTTTAGTAATAGGTAGTGACCTTCTTTGTCTCTTTTAATTAATTTTGTCTTGAAGTCTGCCTCATTGGATATGAGTATAGTTACTCCTGCTTGATTTTGGATTCTATTTTTTTTTATTTTCAGTACTGGCAATTGAACTTGGGAGCTTGCATTTGCCAGGCAGATACTAATGCTGTTGGGCTATCCTCCCGGCCCTTGGATTCTATTTATATGGAATATTTCCTTCCATTTTCTAATTTATTTCTTCATATGTTTCTGTTATTGATGTGTGTTTCTGGCCTAGTACATAATCTAATATTTGCTTTTAAATCCAATGTTTCACTATTATGGCTTGCATCTAGATATGCCTCCAGAAGCTCATGCTGTTATAGGTGGGAACATTTTTAGAAGTGGCTGAATCTAGGGCATGCAATGCTAAGAATAAGTGTGTGGTGTTGTAATCAAAGGTGTTTGACTACTAAATTAGCTCCCTGATTGGCTTGGTATTGTTCCGAGTGTGGATAATGGGAGGACCCACACTGGATGAGTGTCATACACCCTGAGTGGGTAGGATATAAGGGACAGAAATGGGGCTCCCGCTGTTGCTTGATGCTTCACTACTTTGCTGTTTTGCTGCCTCTGCTGGTCATCTTTCATTTCTCCTCTGCCACACCATCCTGCCTTGGAACCAATCAAATATGGACTGAAACCTCTACACATTGTGAGCCAAAAAATAAGCCTTGCCTCCTTTAACTTTGGGTATTGGGTATTTTATGTCAGTAACAAGAAAAGAAACTAACACAGTCACTATGTGTCTCCTGATTGTAAAATTAAGACTATTTACTTTCAGAGTTTTTATAGAAAGTTATGTATAAATTTTTGTCATTTGTTATTTTTCTAATGTTTGATTCTTTCTTAGTTCTTAATAGCTTATCTATTGTTCCTCTTCTATATGGAGGATTCTATAATTCTGGCTTTGACATTCTCTTATTATAAGATAAAATTATTGATCTTCATGCATCAGTTGTAAATTTTAATTATTTGAGTTAAAGAAGGAAAGAATCATAGCAAAATCAAAAGGAAATTTATGTGACACTTCAGGCAAAATGTAAATACAATTTCTTTTTATTTGTAATGTTCAATAAAGTAGTTTATGTAATTTGTTTTACAACTTAGAAAAAGTAATGTAGAACTGAGATTGTATTTTGTTTTGTTTTAGGTACTATTGTATGATTAACTCCCTGCTTGCAGAATTTCTCAAAAGATACTTCTTGTGTGTCCTTAAAAATCATCACAGGTACATGAAAATTCTCACAGTCAGAAATTTGGCAGGAAATAAATGATTTATTATTTTCCTTGGACAATAGGATTAAATCATTTCAAGTACACCATTCAACAAAAGATTTTGTTTTCTACATGTTGAAAATGCTACTACTCTATTTTACATTTTGATTATTGTTTTGCAAAATCAGTAAAATTGCCTAACTTATCAAACTAATTTTCAAAGAAATCACTTCTATTGTATAGATAACAGAGACTTGAGAAATACTATTTTTCACTTTATATGTTCTAATTAAATTTTAAATCAAAACTAGTAAGAGAAGTTAATGTGATTGCACAAATGGGCTCATGACCAAGAGGAACTGGTCATGTCCAGTAACTGAGGTTTCTGCACTTGAAGACTGCTAATATTTAACTGGACAAAATAACACTCAGCAGTTTGTTCTCAGGCCAAGTGCAGCTAAACGTATCCTGCTGTAATTTGTTTGGATAGAATTCAAGTGCAATAGTCAAATTTGTGACCTGCAAGAAGACAGGAGATTCAATAAGACACTGCTAATAGTTGTGGGAGAAGCCCGCTTTATAATGTTGATTTATGGCGTCTAATTTCTTTCTTTTTTTTTTTTAATTTGTGTGTGTGTGTGTGTGTGTGTGTGTGTGTGTGTGGCCAGCTCAGCACACCAGGGGGCAGGGCTGGCTGGCATGTGGTGCTGGGGGATTGAACCGCGGTCCCTTTGTTTTTGCTAAGCTTGTTCTAAGTAGGTGCTTTAGACCACTGAGCCATCTCACCAGCCCCAATGGCATCTAATTTCATTAAGTCATTTTGTCTCCAAGTTCAAACCCAACTGCCTTTTGTTTTAGGGCAATCACATATCAATTCAACAATTACTTGTTGCACAACCACAAGGTGACAGAATAGGAAATAAAGCTACCACATTTTCCTTCTCAGCGAGCTTCTTCCCAGTGGAGGAAGACAGAAAACAATACAAATAAAATTCAATTACATATAAAAAGGATTTACAGCTTTGTGAAGCAAAACAAAACTAAATGACAGAGAACTAGGGTGGGAGTTAATTACAGCTCTAAATACAGAGGCAGAAAGAACCTCAGGAGAAGCTGACTCTTCAGCAAAGATTTATAGGAGATTAAAAAAAGAAAACCCACTATGCTTTTTTTCTTTTCTTTTTTTGGTCTCTGGTTCTCCAGTCCTTTTTGTTTTTGATTTCCCCTTTTCTATTCTCCTTTCTTCTTCTTTCTGTTAACTAGGAAATTCATGTGATGCAATATAGTAATACTCCAGTACACGAATACTTCCGTTCACCAATTCTGTTCGCAAGCGGAAAAATTGGGCAAAATTGTTTTTCCGTTTGCAAACTCTGCATCAGGTGATGAACGCGACTGTGGCTATCTTCCGCTGGACCGTGGAAGGAATTCAGTTCATGTGCAGAAGCACCACTGTAGCTATCCCAAAGTTGTTTAGTCTTTGCTGAGGTCATAATACCTATTTCCAGTTTTTCCTTTTGCTGCGGTGGCCGCAGCCATGAGTATGCTCAGGCTGCAGAAGAGGCTGGCCTCGAGCGTCCTCCACTGTGGCTAAAAGAAGGTCTGGTTGGATCCCAAAGAGACCAATGAAATCGCCAATGCCAATTCCTCTCAGCAGATCTGGAAGTGGATCAAAGATGGGCTCATCATCCGCGAGCCTGTGACCGTCCGCTCTCGGGTGCGATGCCGGAAGAACATCTTGGCTCGCCGGAAAGGCAGGCACAGGGGCGTCGGTAAGCGGAAGGGTACAGCCAACATCCGAATCCGAAGAAGGTGACCTGGAGATAGCAGAATCAAAGAAGGTCGACTGGCACATGTACCACGGCCTGTACCTGAAGGTGAAGGGGAATGTGTTCAAGAACAAGCGGATCCTCATGGAGCACATCCACAAGCTGAACCCCAAAAAGCTCCTGGCTGACCAGGCCGAGGCTCGCAGACTGAAGACCAAGGAAGTGCGCAAGCGCCGTGAGGAGCACCTGCAAGCCAAGAAGGAAGAGATCATCAAGACCCTGTCCAAGGAGGAGGAGACGAAGAAGTAGTGCCCTGCGTGTACAGAGAACGGACAGGTCCCAAATAAAAGAGCTCTTGTCCAAAACAAACAAACAAACAAACAAACAACCTATTTACAAAGGTAATCTAATTTATATTCGCTAGAGTTGTGTTGATTATACTAATAGCAAACTAATAATTACCCCTTATTAGCCTTTGAGAACCGTAATAATTATTTTATGATTTACATATTATTACAGAAAGAATATTATTATGAGAGGGAGGAATACGAGTAACAGTTGAGTAGCAGGGAGTAAGAGACTAACACTGCTTGCTTACTCTGAATAGATAAGACGACCCTACTATAGTCTTCCTGAAGTTATCCTTGACGTCGGGTGGTAACAATGTAGCTTCCATTTTAACCAGTTGTTTTGGGTGATCAGTGGTGATGATCAATTTTTCTTATCACTGGAGTCTATGCACTAAGTTTCTGACACTCGTGATTGTATTACACAGGAGGAGCACGTAATTCCTTCCCTGTGTTAAGTACATTTCGTGATTGCTATGGTTTATGTCTCGATATCCCTGCAAAACCTCCTCCATGTCTTAGAGGTGGAGCTTTGGGGAAGTGAAGGTCATCTCATGTCATGGGGGTGTGACACAGGGCAGTAGATTAGTCCACTGAAGAGCTTGTAGCTAAAAGGAACGCTCATCAATGGATGAGTCTTCTGATGAGTTTAAGGCTAAATGTGATGCTGGAAGCTGATGCCTGATTGGAGGACGTGAGTCACTGGGGGCGTGGCCTGGAAGGGTCTATCTCCCGCCCCCTCCCACGATCTCTCTCTGCTTCCTGCTGCTAGGCCTTGGGCTCTTTTGTCCTCTGCCACGCTACCCTCTTGGAGCCAGCCAACTATAAACTGAAAGCTTTACAAACTGTGAGTCAAAATAAACCCCTCCTTTTCTAAATAGTGGGTTTTGGGTATTGCGTCTCAACGATGAGAAAGCAACTCTTATAATGACTTTCTTCCTACAGTCTTCTCCGCACCCCTATTAGATGAGTGCTATTGTTATCCATATTTTAAGTTTGAAGAACTGAGATGTGGAGACTGTAAGAAAATTGGAAGAGTTAGGAGTGGAATCACAACATTCTAATTTCAGAGACTATTTTGACAATCTCTGTGCTATTCGTATACTTTCAAATGAGTTTTCTAATGCTTCTTACTAAATAAAACTTTGAGAGCAAGGCAGTCCACTTGGAAAAATACAGCAGATATATAAATGGTCCTTAAATAATATCTGTCATTCCCAGTGGGTGCTTGTTTCTTCAGGACGGGAGTGTTTCAAGTACGAATTGCTCAAGTAAACCAGGGTAAGGGAAGGAAACAACGACCCTCAGGATTAACTCTCTTCAGATCATAATTTGGCAATATAAATGGGTCTATTTTAATACAATAGGCAGCATATTGAATATGTACATGACTCAACAATGGGGTGGGCTTTCGGTCTGCAAGCCAAGTAGTGTACGAAGCTTACCATTTATTTCTGTTTCTCCTAGTTGGGTTTGAGCTTCAGCCTGACACAGAGCCTTCCAGCTTGACAAGCCCACCTCCGAGTCACAGCTGCTGCTCATTGGCTCAGCGCCCTGTGATGATCAAGTATGCCGCTCCCGGGGCTGGAGGCTGAGCTCTCCGTGTCCTGCGTGAGTTCCCCTCCACCCCTGACCAGGAGAGGCACAGAGCAGGGAGGAACCCTTGTTTGGTAAAGTGAGTGATAATTCAGGATGCTTTATATGAGTTTGGAGATTAATAACTGTCTAGTTTCTTTAATATGTATTATCATGTTTAATGATCATGGTCATTATCAGAAATAAAAGCATAATTCTGAAGAATTTATCAATGCATTGTGCTCGAGATGAGACAAATTAAAATAAGCAGAAATTGCAGAGCTTGTATCTGACTTCCCCTTTTATATAATTTATTACACCACTTTTTACCCCTATTTTCTTTTGTTTTTATATTTTCTGGAAGATTTCCTCAGTGTTTACATTTTGTAATCTTAGAGATTTTGTTTTACTTTTTCTTTCTTTCTTTCTTTTTTTTTATTTATGTATTTGGTACAGGATCTAACTATGCAGCTTGGACTGGTAGTCATCCTCCTGTTTTCAGCCTTCCCAGTGCTGGGATTATAGGCAAGTTCCACTATGTCTGGACTCGGTCATGGGCTCAGCGTGCCCTGTGGGTGGGGCTGGCATGGTGTGGGGGACCGGGGATCGAACCTTGGTTGCTGGGCTTGCCAAAGCAGGTGCTTAGTCCACTAAGCTATCTCACCAGCCCCAGAGATTTTATTTTAAATTAGCTCAATCTCATTCCTAATTTTGAGAGATATATATTGTTTTTTGATTATTTCATTTTTATGCCATGTTTTATGGATGTGATATTTTCTATGCCTAGTAGAGTTTTATATGATTTTGTGTTGTGATTTGGTTTCTCTTTTGGAGTTTTCTTTTTTCTTTCTGTTCTGCTTATGTTTCCTAATTTTACGTTTACTTGTTTTGATTTTTGTCATTCATATTGGAAATTCACTGATGGTCCTTAACTATGTATTTGTAGTTAGATTGAAGCAGTACAAGTTGATCATTGATCTTGTGATCTAGGTTTGGGAGTACTGCTTGTCACAGGATGGGCTGTATTGTTGATTGTAAGCTGGCCAGGAGGAACTTTGAAAGGGAGCACTTGCAATTTTGAAGGTGTTTGTGAGATGTGCTTCCCCTGAGAGTGTCCATTCTACCTGAAGAACAGGCATCTGCATGAGTCAGCATGCTTGCATTTACCTTGAGCATCTATGGCCAACCCCTTCCTTTCTGATCCTACTTACCCTTTTCTATGTTCTCTAAAATATCATCTTTCAGATAGCCTCTTTAACAAATGGTGCTGGAAAAACTAGTTCTCTACATGCTGAAAACTAAAACTTGACCCAGGTCTATCACCATGCACTAAGCTAAAGTCAAAATGGATTAAAGATCTAAAACATTAAAACAGAAACACTTAATCCCCTGGAAGAGAAAGTAGGAGGAAGTATTTGAACAAAAAAACAATTGAATATGAAAATCAAGTTCCACTTTTAAAAAAATCTGATGGAGATTTTGAGATTGCATCATTTCAATAGACTAAATTAGGAACAATCCATATCTTTACAGTGTCTTCTATTTCTATCTTTTCTTAAGTTCCTTTCATGTATTTTGTTAGACTAATAACTATATGTTAAAAAATAAGTGGATGAGATGAACATGGATGAAATGGATTGATTCATAGATATTGTGTATATGTGTATCTGTGTTATTTGCTAATTGGTAATGCTGTACAGAAATGAAATAATTTTTCAGTTGAAAATAAAATAAAATAAAATTAAAAAAATATCATCTTTCAATTGGTTATCTTTGATGTCATAAAAATGAAAGAAAAGATTGTATTAGGATCCAAGCCTCCTGACACATGGCATCAAAGAAGTCAGTTCTCTTCAAAGATCAATTTTACTGGTAAAGTACAACAATAAAGATAATTGATGGGGCCTGGGAGATGGCACAGTAGAATAAGCGCTTTCCTGTCATGTGCAAGGGCCTGAGTTCAATCCACGGTTCTGAAAAAAAAAAAAAAAAAGATAATTGATTATTAAATTCCCTTCTTATATAATATGAGGCAAGCTATCATGTGGTGAATGATGTGACTGTAACATATTCCCAGAATGATTATAAAAAGAATTGCTTCCTATAGCATTTGAATTTGGACTGCATATTCAATTCATGTTCAAAATAGTATTTCCAAAATATTATCCTATAAAATTGATTATTAGGAGAGAATGATCCAGGCTTTGGACAAAGAAATCTCAAAATCATTGATCACAGTATAAATATGTAATTAGTCTCCAAAATAAAAAATAAAGGAGAAAATAATAGGACTCAAATTCAGAGTAATCTATATTCAATCCAGGAAACTGGATATTTAGTTTACCAGAGTTAGTTTGATATACATTTTATGTATTTTAACAAAAGCTCAAAACAGCTGCAGATATGAATGTACATGATTAATGAACCTTTAAATAGGTTTTATGGGTGAGCTAATATAGATATATGTGAAGTTACAGAAGTGAATTAGTCTGAGATCCCTAGTCAGATTTCTAGGGAAGTATTGCTTGAACAACTTTATCAAAAATACATATTACCTTCAGTCATGACAATATGCAGATCACATGTATTAAATTATGCTTCATAATAGGAATCAATCAACACTCCCACTAGGAATGTAGGAAAGAGCTTACTTACCACACACTTGCCATCAGCTGAGTACTGGGTCACTTTGCTCTTGAGAAGGAACTAAAGAAAGGCAACGTAGGAAAGAGCTTACTTACCACACACTTGCCATCAGCTGAGTACTGGGTCACTTTGCTCTTGAGAAGGAACTAAAGAAAGGCAACGTTAGTGGTACCAACTTCATTAAAGAGGCAAAAGCTGCTTTAGGTAGAGTTAGAAACTGAGATTGCAAATAGCTGAAGCATAAGAAGTGTCAGAATCTAGCCTTTTTATGAAGTGACAGGTAAACAAGTAGTCTATGACGCGAACGTGAATGACTCATCCTGAATCTATTTGAATCCTAAATACAAAAGTATTTGATGCTATTTCATATAAACAATATAGCACTAACCTTGATTAAATTCTAGGGCAGATCTAGCTGCTGAAGAAAGAAGTAAAAAAATCACAATGGGATGAATGTATAGGGCAGTATTATTAATGGAGGTAGCAATTTTTAATGCAAAATAATGTAAGACTTTAAACAATGTAAAAGAATTGATTAAAATGGCAAAGGGAATGTTAGGGGTAGAAAATAAAGCCAAGTATGGTAGTGATTCCTGTAATTCCAGCACTTGAATGGCCAAGGCAAGGGACTGCGATTAGGTTGAGGCCAGCCTGGGCTACATAGTGAGTTCAAGGCCAGCCTGGAGTATATAGTAAGACACTGTATCAAAAACCCAAAATAAAAATAAAAATAAAAATACAAGAATATAAAAAAAGAGAGTGGTGGTTTTATAGAGAAAGATTAATGACTGTGAAAATTATTATAAATGAGAAAACAAAGTTTGTAAACAGAAAAATTTGTTAAATACAGTGTTCACACAGGGTGCATTTTTACCTTTCTGATGCCCTACCTTAATGAGAAAATCCTACAGAACATCATTTTACACCTGCATTAACATAAAGATAAATAGAACTCAGGCTGGATTGTATTCATCTTTATGCTGATTTGCAAGTAATTTAAAGCAATTTTTTTCAGTTTTTATTTTTGCTAGCATATGTTTGCAGTATACGATGGTCACATTCCTAATGGGGAGTTTGTCCATGTACATAACATA